CTATTTAGTGAGTAGCATTGTTTTACACACTTGCAAATATCATTTAAGCCTGGCTTAATAGAAGACCATCCGATTCTCATATCTGCTTCTTCATTCAACCTGTTGCAATATGACACATGTAACTTCTGAAATTCTCCACCCCACACTTGTAAAAAAAAAAAAAAAGAGTGAAAAAGGCAAATAATGTCTTAGTATTATTATGAAAATAATGTTGACCTCACAGACCCTTTAAAAATGTCCAGGAGATCGCACTTTGAGAACAGCTGCCCTATAGGCAGTAGGGACTTTCCCCAGAAGCCCACACTCCAGGAGCACTTTCCCAAGTGCTTCAATTGTCTTAACGCCCTTCCAGCAGCAGAGGTTCTGTTCATTAGCAAAATGGATGGTTGAAATAATCGTCCATTGATCAAATGAGTGGTGTTCCAGATGAAGTGCTGTCCACATGCCCCTGCCATTTGCATGGACAGGGCATAAAATCTAGTGAGCTCTGATTGGCTGTAGTCTTAGGAGTCCATCTGGTCTCAGGTTCAAGCCGCTGAGTGAGGATGTAGTCATCTGATCCCAAAACAAAGGTTGTCCGAATCTTGCTCCTCAAATATCATTTGTATCTGCCTTGGACTAAATCTTTCAAGAAAGAAGATTATTGGAACACCTAAAAGATCAGGGAGCCAGGCCCTCATTGTGCTCACAGAGCAGGTTACATGACTGCAGGGGACCTGCTTGCTAATAAGTGATGGTACAAGGTGTGGAGTTCAGTCTGAGACTTGCACTGCCTCAGACCCCCTCATAGCAAGGTTTGAGGAAGGAAACCCATCGTCCTTATCTACCGCTCATTACTGGAGATTACTGAGATCTGCAGCAAAATGACTCCCACTGTAGATGAATGGGCTTAGGTCATTTCACGGTAGATACTACCACAATAATCCAGGAGAGAGGTGAGGGGGGCTTGATAGTGCTGGAGTGCTAAGAAGTGGCTGGCTCCTAGATATAAGAGGCTGTGCTGACCACTGAGTGTAGGTGTGAGGAAAAAGGGGATTAAGGATGCCAACAAGGGTTCTAAAGGCACTGAAAGGGTGAGCGGGGCAGGTTGCAGGAGAAGGTTTGTGGGAGAGATCGACTCCTCCTCCCTCAACAACAGGACAGACAGGACCCATATCTGCGAACTTGTCACATCCAGAGTGGCTTCTGGGAGAGGCTCCAGAACAGGCCAATAGGTGAAAGGCATTTCATTTTGCTCTGTACTAAAGGGCTGGTTGTTCAATCCTCTAGTAGGAAAATCTTTTCCATGTCAGAATATTGGGGGATCTAGTTGACTCAGTGTGTGAACAGGTCCAGGAAAAAATATTCCTTTAAAGAATGTAGATTCAATATTTACTAAGATCCTGTCCTAGACTCTGGGGATACAGAGCCAAGATATGGTCCCAGCCCTCCTGTATCTTAGTGTTTGAGAAGAGATAATAATAGCCTCCACCCCCCACCCCCCGCCAAAAGAGATAGTCCTAGGATATGCATTCATTCATCCACCAAATATTCATTAAGAACCTACTATGTGCAAAATGCTGGCAATATTGCAAAATTGTAAGACAAGCTCTTTAGTGCTAGGATGTAGGTCAGATTAAACAAGGGGATGCAGGGTGTGCATTTGTGTATGTGTTTGCCCCCTTTAAACAGTGCATACCCACATGTCCTCTGTCCTAGACAGTGTAATCAAGAGGAGAGTCAGGACCCAGATTTAAGTCCACCCATTACCAGCTGTGTGACCTTGGGCAAGTCACCTTCTCTGAGACTATTTCTTCATCTGTGAAATGGGATAATAATGTCAGACTCTACAAACTTATGAGGCGTTTGTGGAATAACCATATTCAGTCAATATAAAGCATCCAGTGCAATCCTGGGCACTAGGTAGGCAATAAATAATGTTTCTTCTTCCTCTCTCCTCCCTCCCTCCAAACACACACACACACACATGCACACACACACAAACACAGTCTTTCTCAAGGACCACACCCAACATCTGGGAGCAACTAAAGCAAAGGATTTGGAATCAGAGAGTGAGTTTAGAGCCTGGCTTTGCCACTTCCTGGCTGGGTGGCATTAGGCAAATCACTTTGCCTCTCTGAGCCTGGGGTTTCTCATCTGTTAACATGGGAATTGTATCCCTTGCCCCTCTTCACAGCATTGTTGAGAGAGATCTTCAGGGCTGGCCAGTTAGCTCAGTTAGAGTGTGATGTCATAATACCAAGGTCAAAGGTTAAGGGTTTGGATCCCCTTACTGGCCAGCGCCCCCCAATCCTTTATGATCACTATTGCCATTGGCCTGATTGAAGATTTCTCTCTCATTTTTTTTTTGGGGGGGCGGCTGGCAAGTAAGGGGATCTGAACTCTGGATCACGGTGTTAACACCATGAAAAAGGATTTCTTAAGGGAATTTTCTAGTCAGTTTGGTTGCCTCTATTTATCTCCGTGTGAGAGGAAGAGCTCCCGGGACTGAAAACACAGTCCTCTTTGTAGATGTTCTGGCTTTTCTACCCGGAACACTTGGTATGCAAATAAGCAGCGTGTTAGCAATTGTACAAGAATGTACCAGAACAGGATCTGAACACATAGAATCTGGCATGTTCACATGCCATGTAGAATCTAACATGGGTAGAAAGAAAACTTTTGTATAATGATTGTGTGGTTTGGAAAGGGCTTTAGTTTCCCCAATTCTAACACAGGAGAAAGGAAAAGTGCAGATGGACAGAATATTTTAAAGGTGCCTGTCTCTGCTCTAAAATCCCACATTCTAAGATCCCCACACCAGCCAGCCATCAAAAAAAAAAAATTCTGAATTTCTGGGGACATATCCTGTCTTCTTTCCAACAGCTAAGGCCCCTATTGCCTGTGTCTACAATGAATGAAAGATGGTGAGGCAGCCTCGAAAGGCTGATCAACCATTCCGTGTGCTGCTTAATGGCTTCCTGCCCATCTGATAGCAATTGATTGTGATTTCAACAGGGTGTCTTGTCTGTTTAGCTGATGGCTGCTGTTCTCACCAGAGGGCAGCAAAATAATGTTGGAAACCCCAACCAATAACCTCAGGTATAATAAGAAACTGTAAAAGCACCAAGGATTATCTGCCAAACTTGGACTCCTGTTCCACTGGAACCCACAACATTCAGCCTGAACAATGATTCTCAAAGTGTGGTGCCAGGACCAGCAGCATCAGCATCACCTGGGAACTTGTTAGATACCTACATTCTTCGCTACCCCAGACCTATTAAATCAGAAACTCTGGGGGTGCAGCCTCCCGAGTAATTCTGATACAAGTTCCAAAGTGGTTTTAGAACCATTATCCTAAAGAAACAAACCACTTATTTTAAAGCATAAGTCCTGACCTCCTCATCAAAGTCCACCAACAGGTATAGAATAGTGGGTTGAGCCAGTGCCTGGGTCCAGCCGCGATTCAGTTACTCCCCAGCTGTGGGACCCTGGGCAAACTACTGAACCTCCCTTAGACTGTTTCCTTGCCTGTAAAATGGAGGTAACACCTATGTAATCAGCGGTCCTGAGGTGAGAAATAACACATGTATGGGCTGCACCCCTAAAAGGTGCAGCTGTGGCTCCCTTTTGCTCCATTTGGTGGATGCCAAGGAAATTCAGAACATGTCACCCCAGAATATGCCACTCTGGCATACTGACTATTTTGAGTTAAAGGCACTTGAAAAACAGCCTATCAGAGATCCCCCTTCTTTTTCTTAAAAACAGAAAATTAACTTCCTATGTGAAAGCTGCCATCCCTATACCAGGAAAAAAGAAACATTCTTATCATCAAAGATAGGAGGTTGAGATGGAGAGAATTCTGTAAAAACAGACGTTGTTACAATAATCTTTTTCTTCCTTTAGCCTCCCATATAGTTTAATTACTTTTGAACAATTGCCCCTCTTTGTTTAACCTGCCAGAAAAGTGGAGTATTTAGGTTTTGCCAATTCTTTGGGTCCTCATTTCCTTATAAGAGCTCCCATGTCATGTAAAACTTTTATCAAATAAGTCTATGCTTTTCTCCTGTTAATGTCTTATGCTAAACTAATTCTCAGACTTAGCCGAGACCCTAGCAGGGTAGAGGTAAAATTCTGCCTCACCTATAATGGCATTTGCTTAAAATCCCCAGAAAACGTCCTGGCCTTTGTCACACTTCTCTGAGCACAGTTAGGTCCTTTAAATCCTCTCAAGTCCCACGTTTGTATCCAAGGACTCAAAGAAAGCCAAGCAAATCCTGTCCTCCTCCCTAAAGAATCCAGAGGGCCTGAGGTGCTCTGCCCAGGCCGCGGCCAAAAGCCACATCGGCTTCCCGGGGCCCCGCCGGGCAGGGCCTTAGAGGTCAGCTCGACTGACCACCCCCGTTTTCCGCGGAGGGACGGGGCCCAGGAGAAGAGCTTGCCCAAGGTCGCGACGCTAGACGGTGGCAGAGCCGGGCTGCAGCCAGATCCCCGCACTCGCAGTCCAGGGCTCTCCCCCTGCTCCTCGCCGACAGCCCCCGCCCCAGGTTAAGGGGCGCCCAGATCACGCCACTCGCCCCCCTGCACCCCTCGAAGGGATCCTCCCAGGCCTCGCCCTCACCCCGCGCGACCTGGGCTCCCGCGGCCGTAAGTCCCGAGTTGGCCCTGCGCGCGCGGGCGCTGCCCGGGCCCAGGCTGCCCCCTGGCGGGCTCGGACGCGCGGCCCTCTTCCCGCCGCGGGGCGGAGTCGCCGCCGCTCCAGGTCCCCGTCCCCGCCTCCGA